CTCATTAGTGTTTCATTGCAATGTTGGGACTTTGTGATAAGTAAGTGGGTTTGGGGCTGCCATTTGGACACCAGGTCTCTAAAAGGTTTGCCATCTCTGGATTAGAGTTTTAATTCTACCACTCGTAAACTCCTAACAGTGAATTTAAGCCCTTCCCTTCATCCTCTAAGTGAAGGGGCCCTCTAGGAGGATCCCTCCCTTCCTTTCATATTTTGAGTGAGTATAGATGAAGACCCCTCCCTGTCCTAGGTTCTGAGGCTCCAGTGATGAATGATTCTACTACCCATATTGCCAAGGAATGTGCTGTAGTGTACTGTGTGTGCTCAGCGGACTTTCTCTAAAGGACAAAGGGAAACTCTCAAATGAGAGACTTTAAGTAAGGAAGTGACAAGATTCTGTAGACTTTCAGAAAGATCATGCTGGGTACCTTCCAGACAATAGACTGAAGGCCACTAATCTACAGGCAGGACATAAGTTAGCAGACTATGCTTACAGTAAGAGAAACTGGGAAGTTTCTGATGTGAGAGAAATTAAATTTTTTTAAATTAAAACAATTTTTTTCTTAGTACCGGGATCCAAGTTGGGTCCTTGCGCTTCCAAGGCAGGCAGCAGAGCCACTGCGCTAAATCCCCAGCTCGATGTGAGAGAAATTAATTAGAAAGGAGGCACTGAGGAAAAGGAGAGGTTGCTGAATTCAAGATATAAAAAGCAGAGAGAATAATGAATGTGATACTCTTCTCCCTAGTAGAAAGTTGGTTATAAACCAATAATCTATAATCAATGAATATATCACCCAGCATTCTTTATGATTATTTTTGAATGGTATATATAGATAATGCTTAATGTAACAATTTTATTTAAACTTCTCTTCTTTTATTAAAACACTGAGTTTATTTATTACACGTGTATTTTCATCTTCCACCATTTCCGTGCCTGACCATTATGATCACTGTCCTATCCTAACCTTCAGCAAACTGTTAAACCAAGCAAAGGGAGGGGCTTCACCTTTAGAAATTAAATGGGAATTTTTAAACAGGTATTTTAGAAAATACATGTTTAGCATAGGACCTGGACAACATTTGTCAAACATGGTAGGAGAACTGCCATTCCACATTCTAAAAAGCCAGGGCTAAACTGTTACATAACTGAAATGAAATGGAATATTTTAGCAAACCTTTTAAACATTTTTGGGGAGTGTTGCACTGGAAATGAATGAGCCTAGGACCCCACACATGTTAGGCACGTGCTCTACCAGAGCTCAGATGTCCTCGAATGCCAGAGACCTTGAGCAGCATCCCGGTCAGCTATCTGGAAGGAATTTTTCACATAATCCTTCAGCAGGGCTTACACTTTGAAGAGAGAACCATCTTTATCTTTGCTTGCCTGTGCTTTGCTTCTACCGAAGAATTAGATCCTTTGTTTTGGGAGGGTTTTTTTTTTAAGGATCTGGAATTTTTCATCTTAAAGTTGATGGCTTTGAGTATTTTACATCTAGTTTAACTGTCTCATGCAGATTTATACACTGGGGCTATTTCTTCAGCTTTTTCCTCTTCAAAATCTTCCTCCTCACCTTCTTCATCCTGATTTGCAGCAGGTTGCACTCCTTTCTTCAGAACCTGTTGCCTCTCCCAGGGGTAGATTGTTCTGCAGTTACCCTGAAGAGTTTTACATCTTTCTCTTCTTCCTCTTCTGACTCTGCATTTCCCTCTACAGCTACTAAGCACTGTGCACTGACAGGCACAAGTCCTAAAACACACTTCAACCTGAAGACCACATGGGGCACGATTTCAAAGCCCTCAAAGAAACTGTGCGATGTAGGAACATTTTAAAAGTCACCACTGTCTCTGCACCGGGACTGCCTTCATAATTCACTAGCCCTGCTCGGACAATATACAATTAATCCTTTCAGCTGCACCTAAACTAGCCATTCTTAAGGATAACTGGCACTCATTTTCATCATTATGCACCATAAAGTGATATTGTTTGTTGGCGTTTAGTTCCTGAAGAGAGAGTTCTGGCAGCTCCTATGCACTGCATCTCAGTGGGAGGGGCGCACACTCACAAGGGAGGAGGTGGACAGCAATAAATGGCTACTCCTGCAAGGAACAGACCCACAAGGTGCACTCATGCCGCCGCTAAATACAGTAATTTAAAAAATACACCAAGCACTTACCATGCTATAGCCTCAATGCTAGTAAGCTTATATGCACTACAGTCTTTCAAAGAACGCTGCGAGGTAAAATCTGTTATCATCTCACCTTAGATCTAAGAGGCAGGATTAGCCACAACATTTATTCTTTGATTGAATCAACAAGAATATATTACTTATGTCTTATGCACCAGTCATTCTCCTAAGGACTATGAAGGACAAGAAAAAAGGTACAGCACTCAGAGCGAAGTGGGAGAGTCGAACACTGGAAGGAGAAAATTCCACTGTGGAATAGGAGCATAAGGAAGTCTGACTCAAGAACTGTTTCCTTTTTGACGGAGGCAGTTTTAGATTCTGCAAAGGGACATTTTTACCCGAATGGGAAACTTCTGCTGAAGTGAAACATAAACTCCATTGTTACACAGAAGCTGCAGCTGGGCCACCGTCCTTGGCTGGGCCATGAATAAGCTCCCCTAGTCGTGAGGGACAGGGTTACAGAGCAGGTAGTGTGAGTCAAGGCTGTGCAGGTGAGTGTGACACTGGGGGAAGAGGGACTTCAGGCCACAGTCTACCCCTTGTCCATTTGTCAAACCAGGCTCTATCACCCCAAGGTGGATGCCACATGGGCCGATGAGAACCATCCTGGCCGACAGCTAACTGTCCACTGAAGGGACTGCTGCAATTATTTTATCAATGATTCTTTCCTGCTTGCCTTAGTTTTTTAAAGACTTCTAACAGGGATGAATTTGGTCCTTCCCTCCTCAAACTAATCTCCCCCCAACTAGCTTTTGGATTTCCAAACCCTGGCCCTGGCTGCATATGTAATTAGCACAGGTGGAATCAAGATCGTCATACTAAGTTGGAACTTTGTGGAGACCACAGTAAATCTTTATGGTCCAAGAAAAACGTCTTCAACTTCTGATACAGAAACTGTGGTGATATCCAAAGGTCACAGGTGAGATAGCAGGTTTCCGAAACACAGACTCACTAGTTTTCTAAATCTTACTTCTATCTATACGCCATTCCTCCTGATAAGACTACTGTTAAGTTTTGATAATCATTATTTTTCCAATTTTTTGCTTAACAAAAATTCCAAGTAATAAAATTATTCTATCTCCCTATGAAGACCTAAAAAGTAGTGTGAATTTAGTATAATAACATGATAGTAAATGTTCATGTTAGCTCAGGGCATTTTTTTTCACACTCATTCTTTCTTTGAAATTGTTAATAATAAGAAGGCTCTGAGGCACTGAGCAAGAGTTTGCTTCCATTTGTACAGGAAAGATTTGTGGCCTGGTGGCTACAAAGATATTTGATTTCCACAGGTCTAGGCCCAATCTCAAGAACTTCATGATACCCACTTCCAGGAGAGCAAGAGTGCCCAGGGATTTCTGTGTTGAAAAAGAACCCAGAAAAATTCCTAGTGAAAAGCTCCTACACAACACTATGGATGGAATACTGAAAGGCGAATAGAAGCAATCTGTAATAGGTCAGCCTTGCATTGCCCTATTTATTAATAAAGACGCAATGTATATTTTGTAGGCAAGGCTTATCACACTAATTAACTAATTAATAACCTCTACAGAAAAGCCAGACTTGTCTGTGGGCTGCTCTGCTGAATTTTAACCACCTGGAAATCAGTGTGCCAAGTTATAGAAAAGCCCTTGTCCTCCACAATCAGCTCTGATTTAATCAGTGTATTGTATCATAGGAAGGGGAGAATTGTGGATTAACACAGAGAATAATGTCCTTAATTCACATACAGTGCAAACCGTTTTGCTAATTTAAATGAGCAATGTTTATGGCATTTTAAATTTGTGTGTGTGCGTGGTGGTTCTGGGGATTGAACCTAAGGCCTTGTGCATGCTAAGCAAGTGCTCTGCCCACTGAGCCATCTCTCCAGCCCCATGGCATTTTAATTTAATGGGAAAAAAATCAGTTTTGGTTCAGCTGCATCTACTGAACCAGAGAAGACAGCTTATTCTGGAGCCCAGGAGGAGGACAATGTGAGGAAAGAACAGGACAGAAAAGACTTTGGGTAATAATGGCTTTCAAGGCACTGATCATTTAATTGGATTTTGGAGGTGATCCATGATGTACTGAATTATTTCCACTGTGGTACCCTGCCCTCCAATGTCCAGTGTTTGAATATTTTTATTGCTTAAGAATGCCAAGACTGCAGTATGAATCCTGGTGGCACAGAAGTGGAGTTTGAGGTAATCCAGCAAAATGCAACTTGTTAGCAGCATGGCAGTAGGATTGGCCATTCTTATCATCTGGATTCTTGTTCAACTGCCTTGATACTGTCTCAAATACTGCACATACGCAGCCATAGTTGGCTGCAGGTATAAGGCCTGATCCTCCGAACAAGCCTGTGCAGATACTGGTGACAACGTTGCCATAAAGACTGGGCATCAACATGACATCAAACTGTTGAGGTCGGGCCACCAGCTGCATCGTAGCATTATCCACAATCATGCTGTCTAAGGTGACGTGAGGATAGCGGGATGCCACCTCCTTGCAGCACTGGAGAAAGAATCCGTCTCCTAGTTTCATAAGGTTGGCCTTGTGCACAGCTGTCACTTTTTTGCGCCACATCTTCTGGGCCACCTGGAAGGCATATTCAGCAATGCACCAAGACTCTGCCTTTGTAATGATCTTTAGGTCCTCAATCACTCCTTTTACACTTTCATGCTCTAGGTTGCTGTACTCACCCTCTGTGTTCTCCCAAATAACCAAGATGTCTATGCCCTGGTGACGGGTTTCCACGTTGGGCAGATTCTTAAAATGGGTAACACTGGCATAGAGATCTCGGGTAGTATGCAACATGTTGTTGTAGGATTGTGAGAAGGTGGCTGGGTGTAGTCGTGCCCTTTAGAGGCACAGAGTTTCGACGGACTGCCAGAATAGCATTGCAAATTTCCCCCAAACAACAAGTAGAGGTCACCCACACCTCCTTGAAGTCTACAGGCATGCACGTGTGTGAGAACACAGTCTTGACGTGCACCATAAGTTCGGGTCTGAGGTTGTCTCCAGGAATCATAGTCACTGTGTGCCATCCACCATACATGGCTGGTGGTGGGATTCGATGATAAAAACCCGTGTTCCTCAATGGGATCACAGGGCTAAGTAGAATTACCCGAGAATGGCCACGAATGGTAGGATGGAAAACTGCCTTCATAGAGCACCTGGCTGTTATCAGCATCTTCAGTGTCACCATTATTAAGCTGAGATTTAGTCAAAATCTCATGTGAAAATATGTGCTCCTCTTCTTGGATTGGGCTGGCTTCCTCCGGCGGAGTTCTTGATCCATATCCCTCTTGTAGGTCACAATTCTCTCTCCATTCTTGCATTCCATGTTTAACATTCTGTGTTCAACAGAAGAGAGCTGAATGGGAGAGATGATGTGTTACATAGTGAGAAGTACAAACATTTCAGAGTTGGATCATTCATTAGGTACATGAAATGTGCTAAGCTTTGTATAGTAAGTTTTTAAAAGTATACACCTTATTTGGAGAGTAGTTTTCGATTCACAGAAAAATGGAGTGGAATGCACAGACAGTGACAATATGCCTGCCCCAACGTAAGCGCAAACTTCCCCACAAAATCCTGCGGGAGAGTGAACATTTGCTGCAACTGAGTCAACATGGACACATTATTATTGCTCAGAGTCCATAGTTTACACTACTTTTCATCTTTTTAATTCATGAAGTTTACCGGTACATTTTAGTTATACAATATGCTGACATTCACCATTGGGATTGTGTACCTGTGCGTGATGTATCTTGGCTCTTATTTTTTCCCATTCCCCTGCCCTCCCTTCAACCCCTCCATCCCTCCCTATCTACAAAGCCTTTGTTTCCATTTTTTTCCTTTTCTCATATTTATTCATTTCCTTTCTTTCCCCTCTCCTTCCCACTTCCCCTTCCCCTTCCTCTTTGGACTTTTTCTTCCTATTTTACATGATCTATTATACATTATGATTCTCATTTATATTTTCAGTTTCTCACATCAGAGAAACTATTCAGTATTTACACTTGTGCCCTATTTATTTCACTTAAGAGTATTGCTTCAATGTGCACCCATTTGGCTATAAATATCTCTACTTTCTCACTCCTTATGGCTGAGTAGTCCTCCATTTTATTAAAAAATTTTTTTCTTTATCCAGTCACCAATTGATGGGCAATTGGGCTGTTTCCAAGTTTTAGCTATTACAACCTGTGCTGCTATAAACATGGGTGCACACATATCACTGTGGTATGATTCTTTTAATTCTTATGGGAAGATACCCAGCAGAGGAATAGGTGGCTCAAATGGAACCTCTGATCCTAGTTGTTTGAGGTATCTCCACACTGATTCCACACTGGTTGCACCAGTCTACACTCCCACCAACAGTGGAGAAGGGTTCCTTTTCCCCACAACCCTACCAGTATTTGTTATTGGTTCATTTCATGATAGAAGCCATTCTTTCTGGAGTGGGGTGGAATCTCAGCATTGCTTTCATTTGCATCTTTCAAATTTAATATTGTTCATTTCATAAATTTCAGTAAATGTATGGCACTGTCCATCATCAGAATATTTTCTCTTTTTTAGAGGAGAAATGAAAACTTTCTCAGAAAAACACCTGGTTAATACTTCAGTTTTAGGCAACTATCCCCAGACTTACTGAATCAGAATTGCTGGAATTGGGACCTGACCATTTACATTTTTAAGAGTTTTGGTTCATACTAAAATTTGAGAGCCACCAGGATGTGAAATATCTGAATAGGAATGATGAGGGGTTGCATTAGGGTGAAGGTAGTGAGAAAGGAAAAAAAAGTAAAAACTTTCAGAGATATTTAGTAGATAAAAGGATGAGGCTTCCAATCTAGGGACACTGAATATTACTCTTAGTGAATTTAGCAGACCAGATGATGGTGCACAACCAACGGAAATGCACAATAATTGAAGTAAAGGGAATTGGATGATGCCTCAGATTGAAAATGAGTTAAACTTTAGATGCACCATGTTCAAGGAGGCCTGAAAGACATCCACATAATGATGCCCAGGGGACGGCTGCCCAAATTTGTTTGTAATTCCACAAAAGGGATCATGGGTGATGATGCAGATGCAAGAGCCATCAACTAAGGGAGAGAGTTAAACACACGTAAGTATAGAAAATAGCCCAGAGCAGGAATGTTTAACTTGTCTTCTTCTGTGATAGATGATGAGTGACATTTACATGAGGCACACTTCCAGGATCATATTCAGACTGTAATGAAAACCACACACTTGCGCATGCACGCACATACACACACACACACACACACAACACTCACAAAAGGAGTTGGTCAAATAAAGCAAAGACCTCCCAGAATGCTACATAGGTCATATTCACAAAGGCTTTTTATTACCAAATGACTGATGAAATGTACTTAATTATCTCATTGGTAGAGCCCTTACCTAGCATGCATGAGGCACTGGTTCAATCCCAGGTGCCACAAGAAGTACAGATATACAGATCTAGATACCACATACATCACCTACTATTCACATTTCCATGATTTCATATACACAGTATTATTGCATATATCATTCAGATGATAACTTTGCTTTTGACTTAAAAATTATAACTATAGCCTCACTTTCATTTCTATGAAAGATACAGATGCACACATATGTTTTCTTCATCTCTCTTATGAAATATGCAGCCATGAGTAAAGTCAAAGAAACAAATACATTTATAAACCCACAGTTTACAGGATATCATATTTCAAATTTGGTGTAACTATTAATGACATATCAATAACCATGGATCATGGATATTTTCAGAAAATACGGAATGGACTATGAATTATGAGCAATTTACTTCCAGGTATCTGGAATGTCACCTTGCTACACACAACCAGCACACACTACAGAAACGTAAGTGAACGAGTACAACTTTCTCACGATAGAAACTCTGAGTGGGTTCCATTCATTTAAAAGTCATTCTCAAGTGCTTATAACAGCACTTATGAGTAAGCAAGTAGCTCTGACACTAAGTGATGTCATCCGCGATTGTGAGACTGTGATATTACGCCACTAAGGGCAAAATTTAGTACACAGGGAAGAGGACTGGAGAGGAAGCAGAGGAAACGGATGGTGACAAACTTGGGACCATCAGTATAGGAAGTGTCAGAGGAAGACAACAAAGAAATGAGCGAGGGTGGGCGGGAGCAGAGAGAGGCGGGTATCACTGAATCTAAGCCAAGCGACACCATCAGGGAATGAGCGGCCAACACCGTCAAACCCTGTTCAGAAGTAACTGAAATTACAAATAGTAGCGAAGGAGTCATTGCCAAACTCCGTGAGGCCATGAGCATTTGTGGTGGAGAACATGAGCTCCATGCTCATCAGCCAGGTGACGCATGTCACCTTGATAACCTTTTCAGCTTCAGGACTCCTTTTGTAACTCACGTTCCGGTGGAAGTAGACAGCAGAGAATAAAAATGGATGCACAGTAGGCAGACCATAAGAAAAAAAAATGTAGATTTTTTAATGTCAGAAAAAAATGAATGCTAGGATAAAAATGCAAAATGCCTATGTTTCAGGAAGAGTTAAATGAAATAAATCTAGATAAAGTGGGCATGATGAGTTGATGGTAAACTGATTCTGGGTGACCTGGTCAGGACATGGACGTGAACCTGTGTACCAGGGTTAGGATGCTTACAAAATGGATTTTAGTCCAATCTTAAATAAAGGCTAAGAGCACTAAATGCAGAGGAGGGGAGAGACTTTCTAAAAGAAAGGCAAATTGAAAAGACTGTGGTACACGAAGCATTCCTGTTTGGCTGAAAGGAAGGATTTATGTCAGAAAATACTGACAGACAAATGGCAAGGTAAATTGGGGTCAGAGAGTAAAGGACCCCGAAAGGCAAACTAAGGAGTTCATATGACACCCTGTAGACAACAGACAGACATTACAGGCCTATGAAATAAAAATAAAAATAAAAGACTGAAAGATATTACTTTATAAAAGGAAAGCATGCACTCAAAAAACAGTGAGACATTAAGATTTTTAGTTCAATACACATATGCACATTTCCCAGGGGTCAACACCAACTCAGGCAACCATATACCATGGATTTTCTCAAAACATCTCAATTTCTTTAATTCCAAAATTCATAATCCTTGTGAATTCTTTCCAGTCCTGGGTCTTTTCTGCTGAGACTCGTCTTATTTTCTTTACATCATTCTGGTTCTCTGCTTGTGCACTTTATGTGTCTGTGGTGTGCCCTTCCCACCCATCCCTTGGAAGGGAAGAAAGTATAACACACACTTGCACACTTGTGCACACACACACACAACCACCACCACCACCACAGTAGACTTTCATGCCTTTAAAAACTAAATGGATCATTTAAAAAAAACTAAAAATATCTACAAATATATTTCCAAGTAAAGATGTTTGGATAAAATAACATGCTTGTGTCTGTTCCTTCTTGAAATCTCAATACAACTATTTTTAATTTTTCCATTTTTTTAACGATTACAAACCTAAAACTGTCATTAGAATTATAGAGGTGTTAACGGAATTTTAGAGAACAGAAAGGAGACGAAGGCATGATGGCTGCCTTCTCAGATAAACAGAAAAGAAAGCTAATCCCAATCACTCCGTGAAAGAAGCCAAGAAACCATTTGTGTTGCACCTAAGGATGCAGGAAAAGGTGGGTTAAGAACTGGAGTCACTGAGTTCTACTCCCCATTCTTCCCAGCCTCATGATTGCCCCTACATCAACCTAATCGAAGATTCAGATTTTGCACTGGAAAAACTCAGGCTGAGTGAGATTCCATATTGAATGAAGGAAAAATAAGTGAAAGCTTGTAGAGAATTCAGAATCCTGGAAGATGAGCTTCTGTTACCTCAACCAGTTGAAGAGCATTTTCTAAAAACAAAACAAGGACCAGGGATTTAGCTTAGTGGTTCTGGTGCCTGCCTCACAAGTGCAAGGACCTGAGTTCGATCCCTGGTACCTAAATAAATAAATAAATAAATAAAAACAACCAAACGATAGAATTAAAATCCTTAAGAGATATTTACAATCAGGTGTTTCCCAAGAGAAGGACATAGACTCAACTGCATGGATAACAATCACATATTCATTTGCACTCATCTTTGATTAGTGTGTTATTGCCAAGCTTTTAGGTGTTAACAAAAACCAAATTCAAACATTTGAGGGAGGCTTCTAACATAAGAGAAAAAAAGGCAAAGCAAATTAGCAGACACATGAAAGGAACTATAAGAGCCCCATTAAGAAAACATTTTCTTCTTATTATTACTTTATTCACTATCATTATACACTAAGAAAGAATACCACAGTCATGAAGTAAATAAAACAAT